TTACTTAGGGGGAACCAAGTAACCCTGGGGACCTAGGGGGCATGAGGGCATCAGGGAAACTGGCAGGTAGCGGGCTGCTGAGGGATTTGGGAAGCTTGAAAGAGGGAGGGAGGGAAACAAGAGAAGATTAGAGCCTGTTAATTGTATGAACTCTCTACATGCCCCCTTGGGTCCAGGCCCCATGGAGGCTCAGGAAGTCCCAGCCTATAGGATTAGCAGTCCTGGCCTACAGGATTCTTAGCCCAGGGCAAAGGACTGAGGGGAAGCCTGACCTAACCTACCAGATCCTGCATGTCAAACTCTCAACCATGACCTGCACCCAGGGGCATCTGTGGCCACATCTTGGCAGTGGAATGGAACTCAACTTGTTCTTGGCTGCCAGACTGTCAGCCCAGAAAGGCTACAGGCTTCTGCCTCCCCCAGTAAGGCCCACAGCTGCCTGATCATCCCCCATTCTCTCCAATGACTGCAAGGGACCCTGATTCCTGCCAAATCCACTGTGGCCATCCAGAGTTTCTCTTCACACCAGGCACAACATTGCATTCCAAGACCAAACCCAGGGACCTCTGCAGTCCTGGACCCACGATGTCACCCCCTACACCTACCCTGAAGCCTGGTCCCCAGGCCCAGCACATGCTGAAGGTGGAAGTCCTTGGGCTGCTGCATTTCAGCTCCAGCTCTGCTCCAGGCCTTGGGATCCTTTGCACTGCCAGGGCTTAAGTCCACTCTCCTGCTCCTTCTGCATCCCCAGAATCCTCCCTCCACACCTACCCTGCCACTCCTGGGCCACCTAGTTGCCCAGCGCTTTGTCACCTAGCAGCTATTGAGCTCCATGTGTGACTTTGAGGCAGCACACAGCCTTGGAACTCGCTCACAGGTGCATCCCAAAGAAGATGCCTGTAGGGCATACACTTGAGTGCAAGAAATACACCCCATTCCCAGGGGGGCTCCAACTCCTCTGAAGGAAGGGCAGCCCTATTCTCCATTGCTGGGGATCTGCTACTGTTCCTGGGGGCATTATCTGGCTTTAACTTTCACCAGTGATCTTGAGTGTCCCTGTTCTAAGTATGGTTGCATCTCAAAGCCAAGCTGAACTTTTCATTTTTGCCTGGTACTCAGCAGGCCTCCAAGGTCAGACAGTGATAAAACTTATTTTCTCAGT